CCCAAGATTTTAAAAAAATATGCGCTGATCCAAAAACTAAACTATCATCCTTATTTGCATAATTTTCATTTACCTCCTTCTTTTCAAAAACAAATTGGAAAGTCTTATAGAATCAGTTTGATCAAATTGGAAGAATAAGAGATTGCTCTTTTTCAACTTAATGTTGATGAAGTATAAATATAAAAGTAACAAGAATACTCACTAGGATAGATTTTTCACGAACAAATCCTTACCTAACAAATACATTTAAGTTACCATTATTTTGATATATTTCCAAGTTAAAAATTTGGACTCACAAACAAATTGTTCAGAATCCTCTGTTAGCACTTTTTTTTGTTAACTAGCAAATGAGCAGATTCCATTACTGCTGTGATGTAAGGCTGTTTAGAGAGCTGCCTCCCCAACTCTAGCCCATACTTGCTTTCCAGTGTCTCCTCATGTCTGGACTCAAACTCTACAGATGATTTTCCTTCATGAAATGACCCTTCACCTAATAGATTAATTCTGAAACTTACTGGCTATTGAATGCAGGCATTATTTTAAAATTGCAGTGCTTTGTAGAAAAGCATATCCCTTTCATTTGAAAATCATATCAAAACAATTTTTTGAAAGATAACTCTGAATAGTTCAAAGCAGATATCTGAAATGCACTGAGGACCTAAAATTTACATTATCTCCTTGAATCTCCCAGCATTAATCCTATTAGGTACACATAATTCTTACCATTTTACTATGAGAAAAGTGAGGCTCACAAGTCATCTTGATTTAATGACTGGGATAATGTCCCAAATCAGGAGTATGGCATGCAGGGTCCACAGATCCTTGCTACTTCTGTAGCAATATCTTCCCCACTACTCTCTTGCATCCTAACCTCTGACTATATACTCAGCTACTGTATTCCTTCAGTGCTCCGTCTGGCCTCTGGCCACTGCCCCAAACTGCCTCCCTTGCCTGGAATGCTCTTCTTATTGGCTTCCTTCATCACTTCCTTTAGAATTTAACTCCATCTTCACATCTCCAGAAAACTCTCTCTAACTACCCAACTACAACCACCTCCATCTCCAGGCTGAGTTAGATGCCCTTCCTTTCTGCCCCTTCTGCTTTCCCCTTCTACATGGTACTGTGTTTGACTATTTTCTTATCTACCTCCTCTATCACACTGTGGATGTATTTGCCTTTATAGCAGTAAATACACTGATAAGGAATGCAAGAAAGAGTAGGGGATAGACCTGCTTTGAAAGCAGTTCTTGTGTAAGATCAGATAAATTCGTCCCTAAATTCTTCATTTCTATGTCTACAATCTTCTACAGTAGGAACAAATGCTTAACAGTATCCCTGGGTATCATGAATGTCTAAAGTACCTTCTGAATTGTGGAAGAATGGATTTATATCCAATAGAATTATTGTTGACTGTTGTCAGGATTGGGCCTTCTTATTTAAATTATTTTTATTATAATGTAATTTTTATGTTGTATTACAGAAAAAAGACATATCCTAAGCTAGATCTTACAACTATTAGCATGTTGACGTATTTCTTTTTATACTCACATAGTTGTCATCCTACTTCTAGTTTTGAATTTTGAGGATTTTTTTTCACTTAAGTAATTTACAATAATAAAGGTAGTAATAATAGCTAATATTTATTGAACCTTTACCACGGACCCCATTTAGTCCTCACAGAAGCTCTATCACAGAGGTTGGCAAACTACAGCCCAAGGGCCAAATCCAGCCTACTACCTCTTATTTTATGGTCCCGTAGATAAGTATGGTTTTTACATGGTTGGAAAAAAATCAAGAGGAGAATGATATTTTGTGACATGTGAAAATTATATGAAATTTAAATTTGAGTATCCATCAATAAAGTCTTCCTGGAAGACAGCCATGCCTGTTCCTTCATGTATCGCCCCTGGCTGCTTTCACACTACAACAGCAGAGTAGTTGCGATAGAGACCATATGGCCTGCAAAGTCAAAAATATTTGCTGTTTGTCCTTTTGCAGAAAAATTCTGCCAATCCCTGCTCTATAAGATAGATAGTATTGTCATCTTCATTTTACAAATGAAGAAATGAAAGTTTGGAGAGGCTGAGGCCCCAGTGCTACAGAATTAGCAAGGGCAAATCAGGCTTTTATTTACCAAGTATTCTCATTCCCTGAAAATTGATAATCGGTGTGTAACTAGCATTAATGAAGCTGTTGTCTTCACTTACCAGAACCTTCTGTTTCCCATCCATGAGATAAGAGCAGTTGTTTACAATGACATCTTTCTTGATGGAAGCTCAGCCTTTGGCAGACATTAAACAGTGTTAAACAGATGTGCTACTCTCATGTTCTTGAAATGGAAACAGAAACCATGAGGATAAGTTACTTTCCCGGAATAATGTGACATGATACCCAGGTTTATTATCTCTGAGACCAGTAATTCAACTAGTAGTTCAGGCCTAAGGTTGGAGACTAAAGAGTCCTTTTTGCCTCAAACCAAAATTACTGTGATGTCATATTACCACAATTTTCAGTTGGTATCTAATGGTACCTAAAATACTAATTAGGCCATACTGTATGTACTTCTTTCACATAGTCAGCATTTATTGAGCTTCTACTATGTGCCAAGTATTGCACCACATGTTACACATATAAAGATGAATGACTCCAGGGCTTTAACCTAGAGAAGCTCATTTTTCAAGTAAACTGAGAGCCACTTGGTAGCTTTATGGCAGTAGGCTAGGTCTTTCCACTAAGAGTGACCCAGATGGGAAGGACTGCATTCATTACTTCCTTCAAAAATAAAGATTTTTTGAGCAATGATTACATCACCGGCATTCTGCTAGGAAGTGAACCATACAGAAACAATCTTGCCGTCATGGAGCTTATGTTATAGTGGGCAAACAAGTAATTTTAAATAGGATGGATTTATTCTGTGATTCCAGCCTGTACTATTGTGAGCCACTTATGTTCAGTTAAAAAAGACTTTGCCAGGCCTGTTCTCTTCATTTCTATACCCAAAGTATAAGACTAGAGGTTAGTAGATCAGAGCTAGGGGATAAGTTATGTTGTCGTCTAAATCTAACCTAAAGCTCTCAACAAGATCAGATTCCCCCCAAAAGAGATATACTTGAGAAAACTGAAACAGCCATGTTATCAAATTAAACTACAATAATAACTAATATTGTATTATACATTATAGGTTACTAAGCCATTTCACATTTGATATCCATATAATTCTCATAAAAAATACTCTATGAGTTAGAGAAGGTATTTTTATTATTTTATTATCCCCATTTACTTTTAACTTTTAACAAGAAAAGAGTTCCAAGTAACTAAGTTAATTTTGAAAAATGAGCAGAGAGGAAGCACTCACTCTATCAGATATTAAGATCTACCACAAACTCATAGTAAATAAAAATGATCATAAGAAACAGATTTGAGTTAAAAGAATTCTTCATTTAATAGCCCATCGTTATCACCAATATGGGCAAGCCTTTCTCTTGTGTATCTGATTGTCCCCCTTTTTCCCCATCCTAACTCCCATTCCCCTCCCCCAGTGGTCACCCACGCCAATATACACAAACAATACTACATATGTTACAAGAATATACATATTAAAGTACTTAAAGATATGTTTTTAATTTACATAAATGGTGTTTTGATATAAATCTCAATCTGTTTTCTTAATCTCATATAGCTCATTAAACTTTTAGTTTTTTATATGTTCTAATGTAGCTATAGATATCTAGCTCTTTGCTTCATAGTATTCCTTAATATCTTTCTATCATGCATTTTCTTATCCATT